CAACAAGCGATAAGAATTATATGATTTCATCGTATTTATTGCTTATTAGGCTTGGAATAAAATAAGCCATAAACAGATAAACATTTTTTAAATTTCTCTCGTTGAATTACAAGAATATTTAATTTTAATGTCGAATAGTACATTTGTATATCATGAAGTTTTAAATTATTTTTAAAAACTAATGAAATAATTTAAAAACCTATTAATCACTTTAATCATATTTTTCCTCAATGGTGGTTTTAGTTGATAATTTTTATTGAAAAAAATAAAACATACAAGCATTATTTATAATTTAAAAGTATTAACTTTATAATAAAAGAAGGTTTCTGTAGAAGTCATTTATCAGCTATTTTGTGTATTGAGTTTTTGTGAAGTTCTCATTCTTGAATTTCAATAATCTATTCAATAAAATAATCAATCTGCATTAAAAAAAATTCTGGTATTGCTTATAATCAATGCTATGTAATAACTATGAAAAGTGCATCCCTTGATATATTGAAGGTCCTAATGATAATATAAAAAAGCTAAAAAATATTCATTTAAAATGCAATGGTCATATTAATACGCATTTCGTTATCTACCAAAACATGCATGGATAAAAAATATTATCTATTGACTTAACATTAGTTAAAAATTCATCAAATAATCACTATTAATAAGTTAATACTTTAATCACAACAACATAAGTGATTTCATCAATAATACTTTTAAATAAATTATGTTTTTACATATTACCTACAATATATTAGTAGTATTAGCTATTGTAGATGGAAGTATTCGTCCAGCAGTTTCTTCTTTGAAATTTGCAGTAGTGGTAAGTTTTATTGTAACTATAATTACTATTTAAACTATGTCACTATTATTCAATAATTTCGTTGTTTTATAAAACTGTATTAAGTTGATTTACTATGGATTCATAATAATATAAGTGTATCTTTAAACTCTTTATAACTTTTTTTCAATTTTATTTACAGATTTTTCGTCATGGTGATAGAGCTCCATTTTTTAATTATAAATTAAATCCTTACACCAATTTCTTTCCTGAAGGTCCATACCAAATAACAAAGGTAATATAAAAAAGTACAGCATTATCCGTTTAATCTGATCATTCAATTACTTTTAAAATAATATAATTTACAATTGTATTTTACCTTTTTTTAGTAGCATTTATCCTCCACATGTACCAAATTGAAAAATATTTTCGATAATGCTCTTAATAACTATTACTACCGTGTTTCTAAGTATCACATTTTTAATACATCTATCTGTATATATTGACATACAAATTACAATTTTAAGTTTCAACGAGTAAAAAACAAAAATAATTGTATCATAAATACAAATTTTCCATTAAAATTTTTGAAAGTATTCATTAAATCACTGCTTGAAACTTTTAGTAATTTGAAGAATCTAAGAACATTCAGTAGCATAATTAATAGTGTGGAGGGTAAGAGATGTACACCCAATTTTTTTAAGAATTAATTAAGAAAAAATAAAATTTTTACTTATATGTATACAATAGGAACTTATGTTAAATTATTTAGTAGATTTTGAGAGAATAAATTTTTAATAAGAAGATTTTAATGATTTAGAAAACTGTTATAGAAACGTTTACATTTGATAACCCCTCTGAAATGATAAGCGATGTGTTGAATTAAACGTGATAACCTTTTTTTTGTTTGATTATTCAAGTTTTCTTAAATAGCATAGCGAGTTAAAAAAAATTTGATGAAAAAAAAATAATAACACCCTGAAATTAATTTCTGGACGCACAGAGTGCGCTTCTTACAAAATCACTGGAAATATTTAGAAAATCAAGTCTGCTATTTTTAAATTCATTTACCAAATCTCAACATAACGCGGCATTTTTTTTCATAATACAACTTGTCTTCAAAAAAGTATACAGTTTTTTTTTTTTAGTTTATTACATAAAATGGGTTTAGAAAAATATTTGTCAGGTCTAATCATAACTAATTAATCTTGACAAATTTTTAATACCTTTCTCCTAGTTAGGTAAACAACACATGTTTAAGAAAGGGCAGATTATGCGTCGACTTTACGATGGTTTCTTAAGCAATTTATATTTAGATAGTGAAATATACACAAAAACTACTAATGTATCTCGAACACACATGTCTGCCTCTATGCTCTTAACAGGATTATACCCTCCGACAGATTATCAAATATGGTCGGATAAAAAAACACTGTGGCAACCGATTCCTATTTATGGTAATTCTCCGGACCACTGTGACGGAGCAGTACGTATGAACATGTTTTAATCTTCAATTTCTAAATTTAAATTTAATTTTCATTTGATAGCCATTTGTAATAAGTTAATAAACGGTAAAATAAACTTGGAATATTTTTGAAAGGAATTTTTTTTTTTTAAATATATATATATATATATATATCTTTAAAACTTGAACTGATTGTTATTGTACCTTATTAGAAAAATTTCCCATTTCAATTAATTTCTTTGTATTATAAAGAAACTACAATAACAATACTAGTAAAAAATAAATATTGTGATTACATTAAATAAACAAGTATACGCATCTTTATGACGTCGTTATAGATTGGTTATTGTCCTGCATTTGAGTCAGTCGTAGAAAAAGCTTATGTGGAACTTTTTAATAACAGTTATATGACAGTAATAGACAACTTACTTCCATATCTCTCTGAGAAATGTGGCCAAATCATTGATCGAAAAAATATTTTTGGACTCTATGATTTACTAACATGCCAAGTAAGAAAATAAAAGTTTTCACCAAATCACATAATAAACTAAAGAAATGTTCAAATATTATCTGTTTATTTTTCCAAAGAAAACTTTTGGTTTACAATTACCAGAATGGCTGAGTCAGAGTAATTACGAAAAAATAAAAAATTATGTCCATGGAAAACATTTTATGAAGGTATTATTTGGAAATAATAGATTACAGAATATTTTTGCAGGTAATTATTAACCACGTGTTAAATAAATCATTTTACGAATTAAATTATTACCATAATCATTTTTTCTATTTAAAGGACCGCTAATGAAAGAAATAACATCATTAATTGCAGAAAAATCTAAGGCGAATACAACTGAACTACGAAAAATGTATTTATACTCTGGTCATGACTTAAGTTTAGGGTTTTTAGCTAACATTTTAGATAATGAATTGGATGTTTTCAACTTTGGTGGTTCTCTACATTTTCATTTATATCATTCCAAAGATACGTTTTCTGATATTATTAAAGTAAATTATGCACATTGAGTTGATACTATAAAATTAACATAGTTATCAAAATAATGTAAATTTTAATTATCGTTTGTCTCAACTATATTTTGATAGTATTAATTTAAATTATTCGTATACATTTTTTCTCAAATTTACTTTTAAAGTTCAGTATTATTTTTTGTTTTAATCGCACAAATTCAAAATATCCTGAAAATAATTATCAATTATAATTAACAACTATTGTTAATGTGTGAAGTATTGCCAGTGGAGATACTTCATTTAAGGATTAAAAAATATTAATATATATTAAAAATTAGCGGTTCGAATCATATAATTCATAAGCAATTCATTATTTTCTTTTAAATACGAGTAAAATGGTCATTTTTCATGATTGAACATAATTATGAAACATATACACTTTAGTAAATAATATAACGTGTTTGTATTCAGGTATTTTTTTTTAAACAATGGGATGATGATAAAGGTATAGAACTCTCGATGTCAAACTGTAAACCACCTTGCAAAGTTTCTAAATTCGCTAAAATGGTGAACGAGAAAATTCCTAAAACTAGAAAACAGGAATGCCATGATTTGTAGAAACACATGTGTATTTTTGTCGAAAAAGTGATCATTTTTTATATCATACGATTACATTATAATTAGTTGTCAATGATATACAGTTTTTATAAAATATAAAACGAATATTATTTGTAAATTATTTTTATAATTAAGTATTACTATGTGATTTAGATTGTTTTTCATAATTGATATTTTAAATGCCTGAAATGTGAATATAACTGTTATTCAATTTTTTAATTAAATATAAAATACATAAGCTATTATATCTATTTAGAAAAAATTTTATAAAAGAACAATTATAATAAATAAATATATAGTGTCCAGTAAGTAAGAGAACGGGTTTCTATTGTTCTCAATGTTAGTAACAATTAACCTGTTTCTTAAACTACTGAACACTCGGTATATTATAATGATTAAATTATCTTTCTCATACGTATTAAGATTCATTTGTTAAATGCAAGTTTTTTGTGTGAAAAATCTAAAGCTATACACGACATAATTAGGAGTTTTGTGTAGGCAATTCTGTCGACATTATATCGTTTGTCAAAATATCTGAAAAATAGTAACAGGAATGTATAAGTACGTTTTAACTGCAATAGAAGCAGTTTAAATAGGCTTATTATGAAAAAAAAGGTACCAGGAATTCAGAAGGTAACTACAAATTTCTATTATCCGCATTAGACTTCAACGGCGGTTGGTGCAGTAAAACTTCATTACTCGGGACAACTTTGTTGTCCTATATTGTTTCAGCCCATTGTTGGGTTAAAGCTGTTTTGTTATGGAACACCATGAATTAAATATAGAAACCGTAACGTCCCACATTTTTAAAAAACAACCGCATTACTCGCTTTTACTAGTACAGTGTTTACAAAAAGTTGTGTAAGGCTATATTCTAATCAGTCATCGCTAATATTTTAATCGTTATTTTAATGCCTTTGGCAGTGTTATGTCATGTAACTATCATGTATATTAATGACTTTGTGTTTCATATCATCATCATCTAATAAAGGCAATGCCTTGTCGTTGCCCTCTCTGTTTAACGCCAAATTCTTCAGTGAAACAAAATATGCACAGCTCATGAGTTCCAGGATATTTTCAAAATGTTGTTTCCTTGGGCGTCCTCTTGGTTTCTTCCCAGTTATTTTTCCTCCAAAGACGTTGATTGTATAGTCATTATGCAGAATGATGCGTCCGATTAACTTTATTTTTCTTGATTCAATCACCTTGATCAGCTGTCTTTATTCTCGTACTTCTAGCACATGTTCATTTCTTTTATTGTCTTTGAAATAAACCAAAAATGAAAAAAAAAATAAATAATGAAGGACACTTGTTTTTGTTCTAACGAACATCGCGCCGGCGGACAGAGTAAAGGTTGCAACTAGATATTATGCTATAATTAGGTATATTGGATTAGAATATATTTGTAAGCCTATGTGTATTGGATAGCTAGTCTTTGAGCCGAATGTCTTTGTTCTAACGAACATCGTGCCGGCGAACAGCGCTAAGAAACTTACGAATATATTTTTAGTGTTTAATTTTTGTCTTGGTGATTATTGTGCTGCATCCATTAAAGGCGCTAGCGCCGGGACACCACAATACCGCCTGAATAAAATTTTTACATAGATATTTTTGAATCTTGTTTTGGTCAGGCCAGAGGAAGATTTAAGAAATATTGGTGTCGATCTCTCAATAAAATATACTCTCTCAAAAGGAAATACTTGTTCAACAAACGTAATAAAATTAATAAGGACAAATTATAAGTTATATTTTTAATAAAATACAGCGTTTAAAATCTAAATCAGTCATAGATTTTGTGTAATATTATTTAAAATTTAAATCGTTTTCCTAAATAATTATAGTGTAAATCGTATACGTAGTGCATTTAATACCAGAATCAACATTGGATTACTTGAAATACTATTGCATTATATAGAATGTAAGGTAAGTACAGTTTATTAACTCATGCTTTCGAGCCTCCAACAATCTATTGCGTAATAAACCATTAATAAATTAATAAAAAAATAATGTAAAATACCAAAAAAATATTTAACTTCCCAATATTACCCCACTAGGTCCGATTTTATATTACTTTTTATTTTTAGTTTAATCTTTGTCATTTTTCTCCATATCTATAATTTTAATGCTTCTAGTTGGCTTCTTTCTTTCTTGTCAATTGTCCATGTTTCACTGTCATATGAAAGCACACTCTAGACAAATGTTTTAACGAGTCTTTTACGTGTGCCAATGCCCAGATGTTTATTAGTGAAAAGCTGATTCTTGTTTTGGAATGCTTGCTTTGCCAATGCTATTCTTCTTCTGATGACTGGAGTTGATTTGTGTTTCATATAATGTAAGAAAATTTGATAGTATCGTCAGTGATGAAATTTGACGCGTTAAAATTGTATTTAAATTACATAGCAGGGTTTTAAACATGTTTAAAAAAAAAATCCATTTGAAACATAAATAAAAAATTTAAAACGTCCCTTAAAAAAATTTAAATGTTGACATTTTAAACAAGCAGGTTTTTAAAACGTAACAAACCTGTAATACAATTTACCGCCTAAACCTAATGAACTATACTTCTAAATAAGTGTTATTTAGGAGCGTTACATTACCAACGTTTGGTAGTGTAAAATTCGGAAACATTAACGTTTATATACTTAATATAAAAATGAGTAGAAACTTAAGGAAAACTGATGGCATGACACACACGTAGCTTAAAACATCCGCTGTAAATTTAATATCACTTAAACAAAGTTCATTTTTATAATATAAAAAGTAATCATAACAAATATATAATATATATTTGTTATGATTACTTATCTTATAATAAATAACATTTAAAATTCAAAGTAATACGATGTATTAAATAACAAATATAATGTAAGGTACACTTGATAATGACTATTAAATTACAACTGGCCGCTACAATGTAAATTATTAAACAGGTTATGCTCATCACCAGATATAAGTATGGGAGTAATGTGAGATACTAACATTAAAATATTGAACTAAAATAATAAGTATATTAAAGATAATAATATTCGATTATTTTTGGAATATACGTATTTGGGTGGCAACTGTTTCACAAAAATTTGAAGTCCTTCCGAAGTTCAACCCTTTTTTTATTCTAACTAGTGTAGAAATAATAGTGTTAAATTAATATAATGTGACTTAAACTAATGTTGATATATGACTTTTTTTAAGTTATTAATTATTAATTAGTCACTAAATTTTTNATAGTAAATATGTCAACTTATAAATATATATATTATATATAATGATTTTTAAGCCCATTATGAGTCATAGCTCCCTCCCCCAAAGAAGGAGGTTTCTTAATCATTAATACTCCAAGAAAGGTAGTAGTTTGTCCCGGAGAAAGGGATGACGACTTCAATCTATATGAATATATAATCTATAATTATTACACTTATAATTTGAAATGTTCTTTCACAAATTTTACTAATTAATATTAATCATCACAGAAATATGTACATTCTGAACATTTTTATACTTTATTACACAAATAATGAACTATACTCCAATAAATAAATATTACAATTATAACAAATATAATTATTAGTTTACATAATATTTTTTAAAATTCAAATTTGTTTAAAGAGTTTATTATGAGTTTTTTTTTTTTAGTAAGACTAATTCATAGAACGAAAAATGTTGGTACAATAATTATGCATCTCAATGGTGGTAACATTGTACATAGTTATTGATTGCCAGGGCAAAGTTCTATGTACAAAAATAGCCAGATAGTACTACACATTGTAAACATTACTACAGCTGTGAACTGCTGCAACAAACGTCAACTTTTAAATAAATATTAAATAATTTTGTTATGGAAGCCCCCTTAATGTTTGAAGTACTTATGTACCTTAATTCATATTACTTTGGAATGTTTTCTATGTTCGAATTTTCATTAATATGTGCTAAATCTATTGATAATGCTTACAAAAAAACAACTTTCTCATCAATTGATGAACTAAGTTATAACTTAAGTGTATTTGTTTTTCTCTGTTTGATAGAAGTATTTCGTACATTTTTGTCACGACGGGAAAATGCAGCAGACAAAGCCATATGTGTCTTCCTTTCACTGGTACTTACAGTGCCTTCAGCACTTGGAGTTGTATACTTCTTACTATGGCAACAGAGAATATTCAGATTAGAAAGCATTCTTGGTTGTATACAACTCGCTCTTCAAGGAACTCAAATGTTCTTTGGTATTGTATCTCTATTAACATTTAAGAGCAACGATTCTACCACTTAAAATTTAATTAAATATTAAGTTGTATTTTTTAAACATTTATACTAAAATTTGTGATACTTGTTTTGATAAAAGTTTACTAACCTCTTTCTTTAATTTATTTATACTTTATAAGTTGAACTGATCATTGCTTTTTTGGATTTTATACGAAAACTACAATATAGTCGTAAAAAAATTGAAATAAAAACAAATATTATTCCGATTGAAGCCATGAATCCAATAGGGTGATGATATCTCAAACATGATATTATTATTGAAAGCCCCTACAGTCAACATTATATTAATATTAAAATTATTTTGTTAATAAAATAAAAATATTTACATATAGCCTATTCAAATTTCATTGTGGAACTATCAGTTTAACAGTTGATTTAATTGATTATTAAATTATAAGAATTATGTAATTTCTCATTGATTTAACATTATGTAATTTTGATATCATTATAAAAATTTTACTTTGTCAAAACTTATTCATAATTTAAAGAAAGTATTTCAACAAACAAAATTACATTCACATATATAAACACAGGGTGAATATATAAATATAGAAAATTGTATATATTTTATTATATAAAAAAAATTTAGCAGGGAAAAAATTAATATAGCAGCATCAAAAATTTTATTATTATTACATCTATAAATAAAATGTGATTCTATCTTTTGTCTTCTTTTCAGTATTTTATGTTTTTAACTATGATATTAATTAAACTATTTAATTACTACAATAATATTTTTGTTAGAATATCTATTTTGAAATTTTAATAAAGTTCTTTATTTTTTCAAGTATGANAAATGTGATTCTATCTTTTGTCTTCAGTATTTTATGTTTTTAACTATGATATTAATTAAACTATTTAATTACTACAATAGTATTTTTGTAAGAATATCTATTTTGAAATTTTAATAAAGTTCTTTATTTTTTCAAGTATGAATACTGATTAATACAAGTCTTTATTGAGTTTTTGAATCATACCCAGTTATTGTCATAAATATTTTAACTGTACAATTTTTTACAGTAATCAACATGATATTGTTAATATAATTCTGAGCTCTTCTAATTTATCTTAATGTGTAAATATAGTTTTATTTTTTCAAATTTACCTGTCTAATAGTCATAATTATGGTAAAAACAATAGGCCCAAATTTTGAAATTGTTTTGAAAATAAATAACTGACCACATGCTGAACTTACAGATAACATTAAACAATCTGTTAAAAATTCTGGATGCTAAAAATTAACAGAAGGTAAATTTATTTATATAATTTTTTTTATCATTATACCTGTGTTATAAATATAAAAGTTTTTTTGAATGAGTCAGTTTGATAAAGTGAAATTGATGTTAATATGGACGATAAAAAAGAAGTAGCAAAAACCATTTGTAAAGGAGTAACATAATATTGTGTAAAAATTCTTCCTTGCCAAGTTGCTGTAAAGCTATCTGATACTAAATACCCAATCAACAGAATAATTCCCGATACACAAGTTGTTACGTCTAGTAAAAAATGTATTAACAAAAACAAATTTTTTCTTTTAACATAATTACATGCAAGTATACAAGTATATACTACAAATATATATTTACCAGAATGTTTGTTTGCAGTAAAATACTGAAAAATAGCCATACCCATCCAAATTCCGAAAGCTGTAATATACTCATAGAATTGATATTTCTTACCAGATATTAATTTCCCCATTATCATAACTGGTATAATTTTACAGGTTTTAGCTAATACCTAAAAAATCAAAAAAAAAGTTTATGATTTATTACTTTGTTTTTCAATTAAATAATATAAAAAATATTTTATTATTTCAAGAAAACTATAAAGACTCAAAATAATAACCATTTTTTTCAACAGATAATTACCTGAGTTGGGAAACTAACATACTTAAGTGCTTCATATTGACACCATGAACTTATAATATTAGACAAAGTGCAATAACTGTATTTGTAAAATGGTGGAGGATTTTTAGAACTAATTCCTTCATTCATCAATAAAACTATAGCAGACAATATAGTTGAAAGCCCTCTATTTAAAAATACTAACATTTGAGCATCAACAAATTTTGAATTATCACTTGAGCCATAAGACTAAAAATGAAAGAATATCCAACTTAAGTTTAATAAAATAAAAATTTATTTTTGAACATATTAATTATATTTGTAATACCTAATTTTTTTACTATAGAATAATGTAAATTAGAATATAACAGATTCAAAATCTTGTTTTATTACTAATATTTTATGCTTCTAGAAAGCAAGGACTAGTCAAAAACATTAAAATTTTGAAATTTATCATTCACTAATCTAATATATTAAGGTTTTAAAATAAAACAATAATATCCATAGATTTATCATTTTAAGAAAAGAAAAATTAAACATATTTTAAAATTATAATAACTATATAATATTACGTAAATAAGCAATTTGTTTCGGTTAAATTTTTGTTAGATATTATTTAATTAAAACCATTCAAACAAATTAAAATATTTATTTCAAAAAAATTATTTATATGCTTACTTCTGACATCATTTTTTCTTGAAGTACTCCCCACACTAAGTATGATGCTTGCAATCCACCAAAACAATAAATAAAAGTAAATAAATCATTTTTAAAAGTGTTAGTATTGTGAATATCTTGAATAAGATCTTGTTTGAAATTATCAGATGGATTACTTGAACGTTCATAAAAAATGAACTTCAATAATTTTTTTGCTTTACTGTCATCTATGTATTATGAAAAAAACATATAAATTAAAGAAAAAATGTAATTTTGCTTAAAGTATATTGCAATATAGTAATATTTTATGTATTCACAAACCTCCTAAATCATATGACCTAGTGAATTTGCAAAGCCAATAACCTGGTACCAACACTAAGCAATATCCAAGGCAATTATTAAGAAATATATGAAATGACAATACATTTTGATTTACCCTTGGAAAACTGGCTAATATACTCTGAATGATAACAATACCAATTATTGAAACTAATATTGTAAACCTAAAATAATATTTTTTGTATCACATATGGATGTTTGTATTTTAAAGTATCAAAAATTCTACTCACCATAATTTTATACAAGGCAAAAATAATGACATAGTTAAATTATATATAAAAATAATACTATTCAACTAAAATGAGAAATAAAAATTACATATTATACCAACATCATTTCAATTAAACGTCAGCATTAATTATGGCACGCAATTAACATATATCTATAACTGAAAGTATAAAGTAGTATTGTTTTGTAATCATAGATCTATGAATAAAATAAGATAAATTAACATTCATATCTCAAAAGAAAATCATAATCACTTGATAATATTTTATCAATATAAGATAACTATCAAATTAAATATTTTCCATTTATTTTTTCTAGTTGGAGCGCAATCTAGCTGTAAGCTGTATTAATATCATTGATAATAAAGAATGGATAGGTCTAGACGTTATATTACAACCAACTGTATTTCAACGCTATAATAGTAATAGTTAATTAAAAAAACTTAATGTAGTTTGGCATCAGAACATAACCTAAAAGCCGGACTCCTAAAACCCATTAAACTAAAAAATATAGGACGGCCAATATCTTTTCACATAATATAAAACAACTATTTTAGATGAGATAATAAAATAAAAATTTTTTGTTTAAGTTATAATTAACTTAACATAATAACATTTAAGCATCAATTTAAACTAAAAATGTATTTTATAAAATAGCAATTAGTTAAAGAGGTGTGAAACAATTAGTAAAAATTAGTTAAAAAGATGTAAAACAATTAGTTAAAAAGGTGTGAAACAATTAGTAACAATTAGTTAAAAAGGTGAAAAGTAATTTGTAATTGAGGTGTGAAACAATTAGTAGCAATTAGTTAAAAAGGTGTGAAGTAATTGTTGTTGCTATGTTATTGTTTATCAATATTTGTATAATAACTTCTGTATGAACTGATTTAAATTTGTAATTCTGATTTCTTATCTATTATCTTACCTGTATTGATTGTGTAAACTGTTCTTAGCCCAATTTAGGCGTATACCCATTAATAAATAAATAAATAAACTACATGAGGCCTTAGCAAATTACAAATTTAATCTTCCATTATAAATATAAAATAGCAGATATATTGTTGTATAATATTTTGATAATTTTAATATAATATTTATTTTGTCATTTTTTAGAAAAGGTAATAATTTTACCTTTCCTAAAATTTATATTTAACATTAGTCAAACAATTCATAAACATATTATAACAAACATTTTAAATAAAAAATATACTAGCTTCACATAAAATTAAAAATTTTTAACACTTAAATAATGTGTTTTTTAAAAATTATACTTGTGCGGATGCATAAAACTGTAAAAATATAACCAAATATGTTGTAACCACAGCAATCGCCTAAATAATTCATAAATATATTGTATAAGTATGTTATGAGTCATACGATATCAAAAATATTCCTATCACTTACAGAAGTAATTAAATGAGCATTTATGATGCAAAAATCACAAGCACTAAAGTCCATTGATGTTCTTGAAATTTGAATTAAGAATAACTGTAACTAAATATTTTTTTAAATTCTATAGTTTTACAATACTAATAATTATTACAACTTATACATTTAATATAGATAACATAAAAACAATTAAGTCTTGAAGGTAAACGAAATTTGTTGAAAAACGTAAATTATCCAGCTTATTATAAAATAATACATAATAATTTTATTATTTCAATAAAATTTTAATTAAAATGCATTTAATTAGAAAAATCAATCACATTAAAATTTTGTCTGTTTCGAAATGTAATCTAACTCAAATTGACTATTTGACTTAGGACTTTTAAGAAAACGAATTGATAATTGAAGACTCATTAATGATAAAATACTTACTTCTTCTTTTGTACTTTTATCCAAATAACGATTACTTATATCAGTTACAAATATCTTAGTCATATATGCCTAAAATATATAAATGATTTTATATTTTTATATTAAATGATTAATCATTTTGGAATTATTTATGTTATGTAATATAGGTGCAAATCGGATGACTTAAGTAGGCTAACCACCCTCAAATTTTTTAGAAAATTATATTTATTCTTATACAAAAAAAAAATAATTAAGCTGAGGGATAATAAATTTAACCCTACAAATTTTTTCATAAATTTATGCCTATGTTTTGTAACAATGAAGAATATTTTCTCTAGAGAATTCTATTGCTGTATATACAAATACAGCGTGGTTTATTAAGGATAAGACACTAATTTTATTGGAAACAATTAAAAATATTAAATTTTTGTGAAGAAAAATATTATTTGATACAATAATACGTAGTTAAACAATGTTTTTTTTTATACATAAACTTAAATTTTCTTTAATTCCAGGTGTCAAGGTTATACTGTATTATAAATAATTACGGACGTATATACTATTGCACGTCTGCTGCTAAATTTTAAAGCGAATAGTATAATAGTCTCATTATTAAAAAATGGTAGCACAGTGTGGTTGTGGTACAGTGTGAGCATGGCATAGTTGTGACTATTTCTGACAGTGATTATAAAATCATCATAAAAAACGCTTCGATGCAAATCTATAGATAATGTTTAATTTTAAGAAATTGGTTGATTATTCCAAAGGCAAAATTAACTCCTATTTCAATTATTATTCCTAATTAGTAGTTCTTTGATTTAAAAATATAATATATGATTAAATACTAATTATAGTTATTACATGTTGTATGAAATTGATATTCAATAATTAAATATTGTAATTTATACAGAGAAATAATAAAAATAATTAAATAGTTGTACATTTCTTTACTTTTAACGTGTATAAAAATTTAACAGGCTTGATGCAATACTTTTAAATAAAAACTGTTTGATACTTATGAATAAATTTATTGGTCTACAGGGAATTTTCATCAGAGACTAAAACATACTTTTCTAAACCAATTTTTACGACTATTTCAAATCTGCAAATAAAATTTCACATATGGACTAAATAATAAAAAAGATCTTCTAATTAATATAAAAAATATTTATGTTTGATTATTAGATTACGTATGAATAATTAATAAATATATTTTAATTTAAAAAAAATACGTAACAAGCAGAAGGTATTATGTGCAGTATATAAAAATAAATAATTATTTAAACACCAAGAGTTCCATAGAAATGATTACTAAGACTAAATAAATAAGTTAAATATGTAATTTTTAATTAAATTTTGCACGGATTATTTTTAACATATTAAAAATCAATAATAACTTGATTAAAAAATTTTTCATGTTTTTCTAATTAGTTATAATCTCAATAAAGGGTGATTCAAAAAATCTAATTTTAAACTTAAAGTCAGCGTAAAAATTTGATTAAGTTAATTATATATTGGTCTACATCATTAAAAAATATTTTATTTTACTGATACGATTTTACTGTGTAATTCAGTATATCTATATATTGATTACTGAATCGGCAAATGTTCGTTGCATTCGTTTTTTAATAAAACATATCTAAGGTTACAATATAAAAAAAATTATTTTGATTCGTTCATTTTCAAAGAGTTAAGGCAGTTTTAAGTATTAAAAAATGTCATGTTAAACAGTGATTTTTGCATAAAAATTACATTTTTCGATAAATTTGAGGGCCATTTTCCCATAGAAAAAAGGTGTCGAGACAAATTTTTTTTTAAACTTATAATATTTATTATAAGCTTCAATTTGACAAATATTTAAAGCTTGAAGTATTTCCGGAACATTTTCAAAAGTTAATTTTTGTGAAAAAGTTGCCATATTGAAACTCTTCCTGTGTGGTCTGGTAAAGGGTCATATGTTCATACAAATATAGCAAATGATAGGTAAATACTTAAGATATCTATAAAAATAATTTTTATTGATTAGGTCATTTTTAAAAAAGTTATGGCAGTTTTAAATAAAAAAAAATGAAAAAATGTCAAAAATTAGCGATTTATAATGTTTTGACGAATTTTCCCCGTTTACGGGGAACAAGAGAATTTTTTTCAATTTTTGGTATAATGTCTTCGACTAGATGCGATTTGTGATCTTTTGACGTATCGTTAAGAAAAATCTATCAAGTGAGAGCTGAAAAAAAGTAGTGACAGACAAAAAAAATAAACACATCATGGTAAAATTAATACCTTCTCAGCTTCGCATCCAAGCTAAAAAGATAATTTATTAATAATTGAATAACTAACACACCTTTTTGTGTTGATAATATAGTTATAATTTACCAATAACTGTACACTTTACCCTATAACAACTACAACGTAGCGCCATTACCCGTCCGACCTTCTCGAAATATCTATTTGAAGCTACCCGTGTAGTCATGTCACTTCCCCGCCACTTCCTATTATTTCTAATTTACAATAATACTTCATACCGGCCATATGATTACCGATGCACGCGTCCTACCTGTCAGTCAAATTCCTTCCCCTGCTTTACTGTCCGTCTAGTAATATTTACTGTATTTTTTCCCACCAAGGGCTGTTACTTCTCTGTCAACAGATTATTTATTACCGTATTTTTACACACTCATTGTTACAAACAATGAGAACAATAGAAACCCGTTTCCTGACTTACTTAACACCCTGTACATGAAACGCGCTATATGTGCCCTTGTTAATTGATTAATTAACACAAGTTCCGAGCAGTGTTTTATTCACTGCCTATACGTGTTTATATGGTAATTTAATTGAGCATTAAGCCTCCTCTATAAATGAACCAAATTTAATAATATCATTAATGAAGTTTATTTTTAATCAATATGATAAAAACCACAAATTACTATAAAAAATTTGTTATGAAAAAAAATTAATCGTGTATGATTTTTACAGATTGTAAATTGTGTCAATCTTGTATGGTTTATTAAAATACCTCATTTTCTGAATAAATTATTCCTTGGCAATATTTGTTTATGATATTATAAACCAGTTTTTTTATTTAGACGAAGCTTGAACTCGAATAAAAAACCAATTTCAACTATTTAAAAATCATCAAAATTAAATCAAAGTATTGTGTTTTAATAAATAATACATTCAATTAAATGAAAAGACTGAATTCATAATTATAAAAATAGGAATATATATATTAGATAAGAGCGGAAAAAAAAATTTATTACAGAAATTGTAATCAATACCCTCCAGATTTTTTTATAAATACAAATAAAATATTTTCTGAAAATTTGAATACGAAACATAATTATTTATAGGTTGCATAGCAAAGATCGTCCTTAGGAGTGTTATGTGGTGTCACATCCCTCTACTTAGCAAAATTTAATCATATAAGTTGATAGTTTTTAAATTTAGAAGGATGCTGCCAAAAAATAATTATTAAAGAAAACTATTGAATCGGCAAAAATAAATTTTTTCACCTTTATATTATTAGTTTCAGAGCGACCCTATACGCAATGAATTTTCCCCAAATAATCATTAATTATTGTAATTAAATTAATTTTCAAAATTTTGGTCTATTATTATAATCAGAATATTTAATTTATATTATTTCAGAGTAGAATATGATTTTAAAATTTTCAAATATCTTAGACTAATATTAATTACGTAACAAAAACTATTAATTATAGGATAATTTATAGTTCGATCTAAAATTTTTTTACTAATATTATTAAATTCTACTAAAATTAATTAAATTAAATTATATTCTCAAAATATCCATATGAATTTTTCACAGTGTAAAATAAAAAAAAAAAATAAATGATTGACGGCTGTATTGACGTATTCCTTAACGGAGTTTACCATTTGTCAGAACGTCATGCTATTTTGTAATAATTAAAAATAATAATTATTTCACTCATTACGGTAGAAATAATGACATTTTGGAACAAGTATAGTTTACCGAGCACCCATTTTTTAAATTTTTTTTTTAGTTTACTTTATTAAAAATTATTTAAAAATATTAGCAGAAACAAATGATTTAAAAATTACAGTATCTTGAAGTTTTCGGGTCGATAAATCTGTAATATCATAAAATTATTGAATATTACAGAATTTCTACGAGGCAAAAATCAAAACTAAACACAATGCAGAAAGATATATCTTTTTTATAACTTAATATAAAAAAAGTTATTGGTTAAACAAATAAAAGATTAATTACGCCTACCTGTCTAGTGACCATTTCAAGCTCTTACAGGACTCTCATGGGAAAGGGGTTTACGTTTTCAATATATCAAAGAAAAGAAAATCTAGCCCAATTCTATCAAATTAAATCTTATAGACTGAAAAGGCAGTGACCCAAAAAGTCCGAACCGTTATAAAAATGTATAATTATTAACAGAAATTATTATGAAAAAGAAACTAAAAGAACTTTTTTAAATATTTTTGGCTTACTTTTAACGAATGCCGTTATAATCACCTTTAGGTTAACCACACTATTAAATTTGTTGACCCTGAAACTGGGGCATATTCAAATACAATAGAAAATACATGTCATCATGCTAAGGTTTCCTTCACAGTTTGACATAAAAAAGAAATTCTGTTATCTCGCAAAATATATGTTTTTGAAAAAATGCAAACACTCGATCCAAAAAAATACAGAGATGGACTTTAACAACAAGAATGAAGAAGAAAAAGAAGAGGAACAAAATAAAAATTATTTAAATTTTACTTAAAAATAAAATAAACAATAAACTTAATATAAAAAAAAACCCGCCACAAAGGATCACGTTGTACACTGTTGTAGACATAGTAATCAATCATAACCGATAAGAAACAATTCATATCTATTATATAAATAGATAAATCAAGTATNTAAGAAACAATTCATATCTATTATATAAATAGATAAATCAAGTATATTACAACGATACGAGCTCAAAAAATAATCACCGTCTCTATGTAACTAGGCCAGTCAACAAAGAAAAAATGGCGGAAAAAATTCCCAAATAATATTTTTTTTTTTTTAAGTTGAATTAAGATATGTATAATGACATACTAAAAGTCCTCATCGATTGGAATTGAGCTTTTTTTTACAGCCTTGCAAAAGTTAAAAAATATGAGCTTTTTTAATTTTCTCAACAAATATTTAACTTACAAAAAAAAATTTCATACAAAAATTGTTTAAAGATAATTTTAAACAAAAAAGATATCTTTTATTTTTTCATTTAAACAAATATTTTTCGAGTTACATTACATTTAATAGGAGTCTAAAATTTATTTTCCATTTTTTCCATTTTACGGTTACTTTTTATCATGTTATACTTACATTAGACAGTGTTATAAATGCATATGTATGAGTTTATTTATTTATAGTATCATTTAAGTGTAGTGTATATTAAGATACACCGATAGAGTAGGTAATTGATTTGACGCTATATTGTTTAAACCCAAGCAAACACTAAATTGTACATTACCAAACAAAAATTATATTATGTCAATTGCCACCAAAATTTCTAGTAATGATAAAGATAATTGTCATAAAGCGTATTGGCCTTTGGTCAGGTGCTGGAGCTGGTAAAAATTGTGACTGCCGAAAAGCAGAGCTTCAATGTTCTATTATATGTGAACATTGCAAAGGCCAATGGCGTACAAAATCAATAGAAATAAATATTGAAGACTAAGAAGATTGTACTTTTGTTGAAGATATATTCTATCAATATTTAGAATAGGAAAATGAATAAGAAAATGGAAAAAAATTTCGTTTGATACATTTGTCAAATAACTTTATAGAAGAGAAATCCTCCGTCGATTACATACTTTGCAGTAGTAATGCATATAACTTGTAATTAGGATATAAATAAGGAAATAGGAGATCACGTAGCTTTTGTAACAATCCATTAATATTTTAAAATTAAACACTATCTACAAATTTGCATCAAGGAGTTTTTTATAATGATTTTAATCATTGGTACATATCATCTATACTGGACCTAATTATACCCACTGTTCCGGGACATTGCTGGTTTTTTTTTAATAGCGATTAGTTGAAACAGTAGCATTTAGTGTAAAATATTAATAAAAAAAAAACAAAAAAAAAATATAACTACACATGAAAAGTACCTTCGTAAATATAATTATAATTTATTAATACGACAATTAAAACATCATTCGATTAAACAGACAAAACAACCGACCACCCAACGCTCCGGCCCAGCTCGACGGAGGGTCAAGCACACACTGACTTAATTATCGATAGGCCTTATCGCTATCTTGACAATTACACAGAATACTACAAGCAATGGATTTACTTAAATTATAAACTTAATGCCATTACTACGATAAACAACTTAGTAGTAGTAGTGGCCCATGTTACACAGGTATCCTTGTAAATAAATTATATTATTAAATTAGTAATAGTTAAATAAATCCTATTAGATATCTCTTGACGTTATCGTCTACAATAGACGTAAATAAATTAACCGCACATTACTATCATAGATGGAATACCCATATGTATTTAGTCTATACTACTATAAATATAATTTTTTTGATAATTTAAGAGAAGTCGCATAATCTAACAATATAATAAATGTCAAATGCATAGAGAAAGGGCTTCGTCTTCAAAAATTTCTAAAAATGTTTTGTTTCAAAAAAATTACACATACCCAATTAAAAAAAAAATTAACATAACTTTTATCATAATGCCTTAAAAAAAAATAATAATTCATTAAAATTTTAACTATGAATTCGTTAACTTAAAAAATTAAGTTAATTTTGACAAGTCAAAAAAATCATTAACTTGACCAACCTTGCTTCTTTAAATGGAAAAGCGAAATTTTAATAATAATAATAATTCTAATTGTTTGATTTGCTTGAAAATAATTAAATTATAAGATATAATGCATATAATCAACTTATATAAAACAAATTATTTTACATATGATGTACATGTATTATACGTTTGATGTCTACTAATTAGAGAAATATAAAATTTTTATATGGTTTATTTTTTCGTTCAATTTTTTTTTTAATATTTATATAAATACTGAACATAAAAATGTCGAACTTGCCTGTTTCATCATTACATCAGCAGCCATCACAATAATAAAGAACCTGTAAAAATACTCTATCAACGAACCATAAATAAAAATCCATGTTCTAGACTTATGTTTCGTCAATCCAAAAACGACATCATATATTCCGAGTAATGACAAAATACCCAACAAACAAATTGACATACATAACTGCTCACCATATAAAACGGACAAATTATAAACAGCATCACACATAATCCGATGTCTAATTCTTATAATTTCAACGACATTTGCCAATTGACCACGGGCTTCTGGATGACTAAAGAAGTCATTGCAAATTATGCTCTTAAACCATAGAGGATTCAAGTATATTTGAAATTTTTCGACGTCGTCAGTTAATAAACAATAAAATTTTGACAATTCTTCTTTCATTCGATCAAGATCCTTATTTATTTTATTAAACTTCAAGTACACTTTCCAGCATTTGCTTACAAAGTATAGTTCAATGAGAGAAATTGTTAAATTTTCCATATATGTGCCCGTTATGTAAAGTATAGTA